TATAGCGCTTGGGGTTTAGGGTTTAGGATTTATAGGGCTTGGGGTTTAGGGCTTAGGATTTATAGGGCTTAGGGTTTAGGATTTGGGGCTAAGGGCGTAGGGTTTAGGGTTCTAGGGGTTTAGGGTACTCAAGCCCGAAACAAGTGTTCTTGTTAGGATTTTCTAGGGCTTCATACGGGTTCTACATGGAGCTTTAACTTTACCAGGCTCCGGCCTTTTCCCTGGTGTTAAACCTCCGTAGAAGACCAACCACTAGGTTCTTGAGCAGTACCTTTTCGCCCTATGTATTTTGGGGTCTCCTCATTGAACCAAAGAAGTAGAAAAAGGGGTATCCTCATTATTATAAAGCGGCTATTCACGAACCTAGACCATAACTATTCCGACGACTCTGACTGAAAGAGCTCCCCGATGACGGTGGAGGAGCCGTCGTCCTCCTCCTCCTCCTTTCGTCCTGCGAGGTTGTCCAACTGCAGAAGCCTGGCAACGGCGCGGAAGTTCCTCATGATGCTGCCTGGCCGTTAACCCCAAAACCCGAAGCCACAAAGCCTTATGTTACCCTATAAGCCCAAACCCGATATAAGCCTTAAACCCCTAAGCCCTAAACTTGAAACCTCTAACCCTCTGGTGCCAAAACGCGAGCTCACAGAAGGTTTGAATTTGTTTCCTGAGCTCCATGGCCGCTCGTGTTGCCACGAAATCTTGAAGGGCTTCTGTACTACACTTGGAGGATCATGGGACGTAGTAAGTATGGTTATAAGTACCTTAATTGGAGTTATACGTAATTATAAGTATAGTTACCTTAATTATAACCCTATTTACTAAGGGGCCTAAATAATCACCAATACAACTTTGGGGTCCCGTATTACGATTATACAATTATAGTATAATGGCCTCCAAAACCCTATTCTAATTATTAAGGCCCCGGCAAGAACATTGGCTTGTGGGTTGTTTTAGGGTTTAGGGCTTAGGGTTCAGCGTTTAGGGTTCGGGGTTGTAGGCTTAAGGGTAGAGTTCAAGGTATTGGGCTACCCCAGACAACAGCTGACACAGGAAAACACTGGAGGTGTTGCCCTGTCGTGGATTTTGCGATGCAGTGCAGTGTGCAGCATCTTTGCAACCAGCCGTCCTAACCTCTCTACCCTGGGGCCCTGAGCTCTATACCCTAAGGCCTTGCACTCTACACCACGAACCCTGAAGCCTTGAAGCCCCAAAATATAGACCATGCTAATCCTTCGGTTTCAGCGGCAGAAGCCTGCACCACTGAGGACTGAGCGCTACAAAAGGCACCTGGGCCTGGGATCATAAAGAAGTCGACACCCTAAAGCGGGTTACGGTTCAGGGCTTACGGTAAGGGATCTGGGGGTTTCAGAGGGTCTTGTTTTATTGCGTTTTGTAGAACTGTATAGGTTTAATTAGGGTTACAAAGGATCTAGAAAACAGAATCACCCGGGTTCGGGATTTCGGTGTCGGGTTTCGGACCTTAGGGTTCCGGGGTTTAGAGCTTGGGGTTGAGGGTTTTAGGTTTTAGGGTCAGGGGGCCCCAAAAGCCATGGAGAGACCGGCTTAATGTCATATATCATACTGGTCGTACATCTGGAAGCAATTGGGTTCGGCAGGACTGCCCATGTCATGTCTTTAGCTTTCGGTAAGCTTTCAGCCTGACTAACCACGGGTATTTTGTAGGGCTCCTCTTGTTCTGCTTCGAGTGGCAAATACACCCCAAGCCTATTCTAAGTATGACGTCCCCCCCGTAAAACCCTATGAACAAGTATATGATAACTAACCGTTGATATTGGAGGAGCTTAGGAGCCAGGGATGATGATAATCCCTATTAAATAAGGAGCTAAAGAGCCAAGGGAACCCCAAAACCACTGGTTAGATAATAATCGCTGCTGGCAAGGTATGCCTCTCGTCATGGTCAGGATGCTGCAGGCAACCCTTCTGGTGGAAACCTGTTCCGCGGCCTCTACAACATCGTGTGCCTTAGGTGGCACTTCCAGATGTAGGAAATCGGGTTCAGGGTTTCGGGGTATTGGTTTTAGGGGTTTGGGGTAGGCCGTCGTGTTATGGAAGATATTATGCCACCCTTCTATCCCTATTCGTATCCCTAAAGGGAACGCCTTAAAGAACCCTGCGCCGAGGATAAAGAGCTTGGGTGCTTCCCGCAAGAAGCCTCCTGACGTGGTTTTGGACGAGTGCATCGAGTACAGCGAGCGCGTGGCGGACAGATCAGGCTTCAACCGGGTTAGGATAGGGCACCCTTTGGGTTTCGAGGATTCTATACGAGTTGCGCGGGGTCTCGCACACAGAGTTTCCATTTTCAATCCATTGAGGATCATTGGGGTGAGAATTGCGGTAAGTGCTCTGTTACTGGTGCGTTTTCATTGTTTAGCGCCAAGAAGAACCCTGAACCCTAAACCCTCCAAGCCCTAAACCCTAAACCCCTAAACCCTAAAACCGTAACCGAAGAACCCAATCTAGAGGTTTCAGGTTTCCCAGTGTGGGCCGTAGGGTCGCCGGAACAATGCGGCCTCATTGCTCACAGTATGAGTTCCACACTACATACCCAAGCTAAGCGCTTTTGCAACGCAGAGCCTAAATCTTGAAGCTTATGAACTTATACCCCCAATCCCCGCACCCAGCTGAAAACCCAATGTTCGCAGCCCCTAGGCACCTCGAGCCCCACACCCCCCTAAACCCTAAACCCTGCACCCCGCAACCCTAGACTCTGAAGCCCTGAGTCTGGTCCAGGGGTTTATGGTTTAATAAGTTTGGGGTTTTAGGCTTTAGGGTTTAGGGGTCTAGGGGTTTCGGGTTTAGGGCCTAGGGTCGGAAAAGCAGGGTTGTTGTCTGCCCTTTCAGGGTACTTCTTCATGGACTCTCCCGGAAACGACCTGGAGTCTATCGCCGGGCAGGTTGGGCTACGCAGGGAATGCGGATTTTCACGAGTTCTGGGGGGGGAGTGACGTTTCGTTTTGAAGCTATTACAGGGCGGTATGTGAAAACCCTATGACCTCAGACTGCAATATGCGTACTATAGCGGCGGGGCGGGGTTCCTTATTATAATACTGGTTATATAATGGACCCCCCAAACCCTTCTAATTATTAAGGCCCCTAGACTCGTAATGTAGAGCACAAGAGGCTCCTGGGTGCTTGGGGTAAGCGCCTTCCGCCTAAGGCTTCTACGATCCGCAGCCCGGAAGATCCGATCCCAACATGCGGAAGCACTCGTCTCTGCTTTTAGGCCCCTGCTTGGAAAGGATGAAAGTACGGGTTCGTACTCCCAAAACTTCTTCATTGATTGGTGTCTAGGGTTTGACACAAACGCCCAGGAGGTGCGAGGTCAGTGTCCTCTTGCCTTTCTAACAAAGCATGGAGCATCCCAGCGACTGTCATGCTCCCTCCGTTTGATCAGACGTTACCAACCGCATGGTTGGACAGCCAGACATCTACAGCGACAATAGACATCAAGCATTTAGGGGAAGCAGTGGTAGTAATGTGGCAGCCGTGGCAGCGACACTGGTATGAATATCAGTACTGCCGACAGTATATATGTTAGGAGCTACCGTTGCACTCTAAAAGTAAACCCGAAGCCTTAAATCCAACCCGAGATCCTAAACCCTAAATCCTCAGAATCCAGGTTGCCAGCGGTTGCAATGTGATCTTCTTCGTCACCGGCAACGGAGCCCCTCTTTCAATCAACTACTGGTTTACGACACCGGTCTACGAGTACATGCGCAGCCCAAAGCCTGAGTCCTGAACCCGAAACCTTGAATCCCCAAGCCTCGAACTTCAGCAGGCCCCACAATGGACCCTGTGCACACCTACAAAAGACAGAGGCAACCACCAAGACCAGCCCCAATTGAACACCCCAAACCCTGAATCCCCGATAAATCAAGTCCTGAAGTCATAAGGTTTAAGCCCCTGATCATGAGCCCTGAAGTTCTAAACCACTACAGCCTTACTGAAAGACTCCCAGGCAGGGGACTTTTCGTCGGAGCCCCATGGTAAGTTTAACTAACCAGGATTTTTTGCACCCGAATCTTCTGCGAAACTTTCCCTGAAAGTGCCCACCGAGACCAAGGCAATCACCAACTTTCCCTTCGTGCCGACGTTGAAGGTCGTCACGACAAGCGGCCGTTTCAAGATCCTCCAGAAGGAGCTTCTGTTGGGTTCGAGGCTAGGGGTCTTCAATGGTTTAAGGTTTCGTGGTTCAGGGTTTCGGGGTTTAGGGTTCAGGGTTTATACTTTTTGGCGGTTTCAAGGTTCAGGCTTGAATTTCGGTGTTCGGGCGTTTGGATTCGACGTTTAGGGTCCAGGGACAACGTGTAGGCTGTGGTGGTGGTGGTACGAGTAGTATAGTAGTAGTAGCAGCAGGAGTGGCAGTGTGGGTTGTTGCTTTTGATGATGGTAGTGGTAGTGGTGGCGGCGTTGTTAGTGACGGTATGGATTTTAGGTTCCGGAACGCATGTGTTGACGAGTGACTGTCCTTCCACTCAAGCTGCGAGGAATGCCAAAAGTCTCTCTTGCTGTGCTGCAGATTTTCTCTCGACAATCCTTCTGACGACTATTCCCGACAATAGTTCGGGACCTCATTCTGAGAAGAAATGCCAGCTGCCATGTTCGCCATATCTACCTGGCGCTGGTGTCTGTCTTTTCTGGCGCTGCTGCCTTCTGCTTTGCTTGCAGCAAGTCTGGAAAATGGACAAATCCGTCTGCGAGCTTCGACTTCCCAAGGTTCCAAGCTCTGCTGACCTCGAAGGCCTTGTGTCGTTCTCTGGTGTACCGCCAGGCCAGGTGGGTGCTTGCAAATTTTCGGGCTGGGTTCTTGCAGCCCTCCTGGTCGTGGTACTACAAGCGTTTGCACCCGTAAGCCCGAAAGCCTGATCCTGAGCTGTGTACCATAATATCTAGACTCTACTATAATGTACTAAACTATACTATACTATAGCATAATACACTATAATATACGAACGTTTCTGCAGGTGACCCCAACGACCATGGAAGTGGCGGCTCGCGAACTTCGGGAAGGGGCTCCGCATAGTACGATCGTCTTGGCGGAAGAGATGACGCAGGGACGTGGGCGCAGAGGCAGCAGCTGGATATCGCCCAAGGATGGGAACCTTTATGTCACTCTCATCCTCCGTGCCTCCGGCGAGCCATCTTTAAATGCCTACCGACGCTCGCAGGCCAACTTTGCAACGCCGCTTGCTGTAGCACGGGCCGTTAAGGACACTGAACCCACGCTAAATCCGATGATTCGTTGGCCTCGGGCCGTGGAGATTGGTGGCCACAAAGTGTCTGGATCACTCATCGAGGTGCATGATGAGGAAGGGATCGAGCACTTTGCGGTAGGCATCGGCATCAATGTGAATGCCGAGTTTTGCAACAATGAGACATTCTCGCAGAATGTGACAAGCTTGCGTTGCGCATCACAGAAAGTGATCGACCGAGAACTGCTTCTGGCTCAGGTTTGCAGCAATTTGGACGAGCTTCTGGAGACGCCACCCGACGACTTGCAGAAGCAGTATCTGCGATGGCCTTCTGTCACAGAGCTGGACAGTGAGGTCTCCCTCCTGGACAAGACGAGCAAGCAGCCAATCGTAGATGGAAAGGTCCACGGAATTACGACTTCCATGGACTTGGTCGTCGAGGCGGACAACGGAAGCCAGATTGAGGTGTCGGAGGTGGGTACCATCACCGTCTTTCCGAAAGGTCGACGTTACAGGGCCGAGTTGTGATGGAATGCTTCTCTCCGAGAAAGGCCGGAGAGTAACCCCTTTCAACATTGAGCGCAGGCCCTAAATCTACGAACAGAGTCCAATCCGAGAGAACTTAAGATCCAGAGATTTGTTTCCCGCAGGCTCCAATCCCGAATCCCTCTCCCATAATCTGATGTTGTGTGGCTAGCCATTTCGTCTGCACAGAGACAGCATCACGGAGTCAAGCGGATCCCATGGCAAAGCATGCACCCTAAATTGCAAGCACACACACACACACACACCATAGATTCGATCGTTGTATAAACATCGAGCCCAGCTCGTAACTGTAATGCTTTCGAAGCTTTCAATGGGGCGTTGCTGGCGGTGAAATCGTCGGGGGGCGGCACTGCTGGAGAAAAAGGACGCTACCGCCTTTGATATAGCTTTGAAACCCCAGCGCAAATCGTCGACCTTCAGCAATTGGGCCATTATAAACTTATTTTGCAGACGTACATGTATATATATATATATGTATATATATACACACAGATACAACATTGAAAATCAGATGCGTTAGGATAAGATCGTATGGAATCATACAATATGAGAGATTACCCCATTCTTATATGCAATCTGCAATGATATGGCGCGATGTTTTTGACCGAATCACTAACACTTGTACAATCCCAGCATATTAATTTGCTCCAAAATCCCACGCAAGGAGATGGACGTCAATGCCGGGTCGCTGACGGAAGGTGTGGAGCTTGCCGAGCTTGCGCGGCAGGTTTTTGAGCAGATGAGCCCCAGTCGATGAAGGAAGGTTTTCAGGTTTAGGGGTTAGGGGTTAAGGGCTTAGGGGTTGAGGGTTTAGGGCTTAGGGTTTAAGGTTTATAAGGGTTCAGGTTTAGGGGTTTAGGGTGTCGGTTCAGGATTTGGGGCTTGCTTCTGGTTCAAGGCGCCAGGTATTACCCTTTTGATGGCCCTTGGAAACACAGGCACCCTCGTTTTCAGGTTAGATTCGAAACTTTGACAACGTCTACCTCGGATCCGAGGGTTCTTCTGCCTTTAGCCGTGAGAGCAAACCCTAAACCATGAACTAGGTGGCAGTTTGGGAAGCTTTTTAATTTCCCTTGTGGTTCCTTTCGAGGTACCTATTCATAAATACTTTTCAGAGCCCCAAAACCACAACCCAGTTAAGCAAGGTTTAGGGTTTGGGAGTCCCAAAGGATGGTGTAGGTGCGGGAGTTTTTGAAGGTGCTTCATGTGGGCGTTTCAGTCCTCGTCGGGGCTTCTTCGGGGTTGTTCAGCGCAAGTGTTGGTCTGGTGTTTAGGGTTTTCCTTTGATGCCGCAAGCAAAAGCCGATGACAGGTGCCTTAGAAGGTAGCACAATCCGACTTCAGTTTGAACTCTTAGCTTATATACGGAGCTTGCGTAGGCCCTATGATATCTTAGCCTTGCCAACATGACCTTGTTCTCTACTGGATGCGGGAAACTTTAGCAACACCGACTCTACAAACCACTGAGCCCAAAGGAAGGCTTAGACCTAGAGATTTAGGAATTGCGAGGTTTAGCGTTGGTGCTTTAGGGTTCTGGTTGAGCCTTTAGTGGGTTTGGGCGTTTGGGATTGAATTCAGTCTAGGCATTCGTGCCTAGTGCCTCAATGATGATCTCCTGAACCCCGACGTCACGAGGATCGACGTCGCGGCCGGCAGGAAGAGCCGTGGGGAGATGACAGGCTCGGGTGTAATTTAATATGGGAGTTTCCGAAAATTAGGGGTACCTTATTTTGGGGTCCTTTTTATAAGGATCCTGCTATTTGTGGTACTATATTGGGGTCCCCTATTTCCGGAAACTCCCCTATCACGGACCACCTGATCCATAAATGTTAAGATCTTCTTAAACAGTGGTTGCTATGGCCCTACCACCCTTACAAGCCTATTTGGGACATGAGCAGTACCATACTCCCCGTTTAGGGCTCATTCGGTCCTTTCGAAAAGAGCTTTGCTCCGGCGAGCTGCGTGACTTTGCATTTCAGGGCTTCTCTTTTGTTGTTGAGGACTAGTTGAGGGCCTTGCAGTTTGGGGATTAGGGCGTCGGTTTTCCTTGCGAGCCTAGGGCCTGAGCTTTGGATCTGGGCGAAACTCCGCGATAGCTTATGATAAAGATCCTACTATTTCGGGTACTATATTCAAAGGGGAAAAGGAGGGACCCTGAATGGGACCCCTACCCTATAATGGGCTATATAATGGGTATAAAATGGCTATATTATGGGTATATACCTAGGGGTCCTTATTAGGGGTCCCTCCTTTTACCCTTTGATATATTTTTAGGGTCCCCTATTTTCGCTAACTCCAAGATGCCTCCAGCTCTAGAACTGACAATGAACCTGAAACTCCATACCCTGAGCCCCTCAACCCAAAGCCTTTCCCTCGACATGAGGCTCTGGGCATCGTGCTCTCTGAGCATCTACTCTGAGTCACCCTTGTAGGATCTAACCCCTAAGCCCTAAATCCTAATTCCTAGAACCCGAAACCGTGGCTCTACAGCCTTAAAGCGTAACCTCCAACTCCAAAGCCCCATTTCCCAGAAAGGTAAGACACTCAAGCACAGCCTCAAAACACTAAACCACCAACCCGTAACCTGGGTTCTTTTGAAGGAACTCAAGTTAAGTTACCATAATAAGGAAACCTGGTGTAGATCCCTTTCATGGTATCTTAAATTAAAACCCTAAACCATCAGCCCTGAACCTCCCCGACGGAGCCCTGATTCCCTTGAGCCAAACATCCTACACACCCCCTCAAAGCCTAAAAACCACCTAAACCCTAAACCCCCTTGAAACACCCTGACCCACGAAAAAAGCCTTAAGCCGAAACCCTCTGAACCATGGGCCCATTTCTTTTGAAGAGCCATAAATCTTGCAGCATGAAAGACAAGCAGCTCCAGGCATAAGCCAAGTCTCAATCTGGCGTAACTGGTTCCTGGACGGCGCACAGACTCTGAGCGACTTGAAGGCCTTTTTTGTAAAGTTTTTAGGGATTTGGGGTTTACGGGGTCCAGGGTTTGGGTTTCAGCGGTTTTTCACAATCAGCTTCGTGTAATTCGTGGGGTTCCTGGATACCTGAATATAGGTCCCTACTTGGAGGTTCATGGGTAGTTATAAGTAGGGTAACTGTAATTATAACCCATATCAGGGGACTTATGACCCCACTTATAACTACCCATGAACCCCCAAGTACTTTGGGTTTAGGTTGAGGTTTCGGACCAATCATCCGTCTCTGCGGAAGCCAACAGCCGGAAGATGCAGCGCTAGTTCGTAGAATCCCTTGCAGAAGCATGTCTAACTGACTGTAAACTCAACTTTTCAACTTTTGGCGTTCTTATAAGGTAGTCGATTCTGAAAGTTTCAACTTTTTTGTGGTTTTGGGCCAGTGAGATTTTCGCCAATGACAGGATACTCAGTGCTCGTACAGTCTGCCCCCAAACCCTGAACTCTTAACCGCAAGAGTGCATGCGGTCTTCGGTTTTGTTGTCTGCACGGGGTTTGTGCGCACCCGAGGCGGGTTCACGTTTAGGGTTGACGGCTTCGGGTGTGGGGCTTAGGCTTAGGGCATGGAGTTGGTTTGGTTATTCTTTGTTGTGGTTGGTTGTAGTCCTGGTAGTGGCACGGTAGTCTTGGCCGTGGTGGTGGTCATTGTGGTTGTCGTCCTCGTCGATGTCGCCACATAGTGTTCAAGGCCGTTCTGAGTAGTTCTGCGAACCCAAATTAGAAAGAACCTTACGCCCTAAGCCCTGCAACTCAACACCCAAAACCCCAATCGTGCTAAATTGCTAAACTCTACACCCTGAATTCTGAATCCTACGACCCAAACGCCGAAGCCCATGCTATCTTCGCTTCCCGACAGCCGTCAGGCCACCTTCAACTTCGAACAGCAGGACGCAACCTCCCAATTCTGACTCCAACGCCCTGCAGGGTTTAGGGTTTGGCTAAGGCTGAGGTTTCGGGGTTAGGGAAACCCCTAGAACTCCTAAACAGCCACTGTTGAGGCAATATGTGCTCGAGAATGATCCATCCGGGTGCTTAATTAAGTCGTGGAGCAGTTTTATATTCTTCAGTCGGCATTCCATGTATCGCCTAGAAGAGGCAGCAAGAACAAAGCTTTAGATCTCCAGGCAAGCAACACAATCGCCATCATTTGGCGACGGATTGTGATCGAAAATGAAGCCTCGGCCAGGCCGCCCGGTCCCGCGGATCCGAGGAAGACGTTGGATCAGAACGGTGCTGCCTGCGGCTCTGCTCCCCGCGCACCAGCTTGCGGGGAAAGCTGTGGAATTTGTCACAGCTGCCGTGCGTTGGACCTTTTCAAAGGCTGGCTGGGACGGAAAGGTTTGAGCACATTCTGGGCCTTCTAGTGCAATTCCCGTACTGTCCTGAGCCCCTGGGACAATGTCCAACACCTTGCTGGTGCTAAGCCGGGGAGCGGAACGCCGCCGGTGTCATCGGCCCGGGTTGCGACGCCGCAGGGCGAACAGAGCATACTGATGCAGAGCGAGCCCCGTGAATGCGTAGTGCAACACGTAGTGTCGTATTCGTTTTTCGGGCATGTGTATACATATATATATATATATGTGTGTGTGTGTGTGTGCTATGTGGATGTGGATGTGGGTGTAGACGTAGATGTAATGCAGGTCGGGGGAATGTTCTTGCGTAGATGCTGTCGCCAAGAACTGGCCAGGAACAAGCCCGAGGCGCAGATAGAGCAAGGTTGGAATCGCTCGCAACTATACCGGTAATATAATGAAGCGGAGTGAAGTCCCTGGCTCGAGCGTCGCACAGCGGGTTGTCAAGCAGGGCTTCGCATTGCTCGGCAAAGACGCCACAAAGTCGCTCGGCAGCTCGGCATAATAATCGAGGTCAGCTCAGTTACCATATGATTTCACTGGAGTCCGAAGGAGGCGTTGAGGCTCGCTTCCTTCGTCTTGCAAGCGGCACAGACCTCAACGTTCCCGCAACACTCACCTGTGTGGAGTTGGAGAATCT